CCCCCCCCCCCGCCCCCAGGCGCCCGGCGCACGCCCCCCCCACCCCCAGGCGCCCAGCAGCCCCAAAAGATTGGGGACCTCTGGACTACAGTATAAAGAAAGATGCTGAAAAGATAAAGACTGTTTGAGTACTGAAGTAGAGGAATTTAAAATAATGCGCCGTGTAGATGAGATGCATCGAGTTCTCCTAATCACCATTTCTTATAGAAGAGGAGAAGTTATTCAACCAAATTGAAAATCAGCATATTTAAAACAAGTAAGAGTAAATATTTTCTTCATTTGATGTACAATTAACTTGTGGAACTCATTGCCACAGTATAGTAAATCCTGCAAATTTTTGGGATTCAAAGTCATTAAATACATAAACAATGAAATCATAGAAATATACAATCAAAGAAATATAGATTTGGAGGGGAACTCAGGAAATCATCTTGTCCATTTTCCCACATGGAGGCATGACCAAGTATACTAAGCCCATCTCTGAAGATGTATAGCTAACCTGTTCTTAAAAATCTCCATTGTTGGAAATTGCAGAGTTTCCTTTGGTAGCCTCTTCCAGTTCTTAACTGTACTTAGTTTGAAAGTTTTTCTCTATAGCTAACTGAAATCTCCATTGCTGCAAACTGAGCCAATTACTTCTTGCCCTACCTTCTGTTCATATGGAGGACAGCTGGTCACCACCCTCATTATAACAGTCCTTAATGTCTTTGAAGACTGTTATCTCTGCCTTCAGTCTTCTTTGCTCGAATCTAAACATATCTAATTCAACCATTCCTCAAAGGTCAGATTTTCTGAATCTTTGATCATTTTTATAGTTCTCCTTGGGATTCCTTCCGGTTTCTTGACTTTTCTTACAATATGGTACCTAAAACTGGACAGAGTACTCCAGGTGAGGCTTCACTAGTGATGTGCACAGCGGAACAGGTACTTTCTATGTTTTACCTGTGCCTGAATACATTGTTACATTACATACAATTACATCAGGTGGGGGAAAAATACGAAGGATATGTAGTCCCCTTACTAAAGGTGCCTGACTTTTTTCTGGGAGGATCCTGTGTGCTGCAATCTAGCTCTAGGGACTACAATTCCCACAAGTCCTTAAGGAAACCAGGAAGGAAGTTTTTTCGGAGGCTTTCCATGTGGAGAGAGGGTCTCAGAGGTCTGGGGGCTTTCCATTTTGGAACAAAAGGAGCCAGGCTGCTGTGGAAGAGCCTTATCCAGTCCAGGAGCTGTTAAGTTGCAGCTACAGACTGGGACTGAGAGCCTTTGGGACTTGGATCTAGTAGGCTGCTTCTGGGGCAGCTGATTGCCTTAGAGGGGAGAGACTCTGGCTGTGCCTGTGGCTCAGAAGGACTACACTACAACCAGCACACAGAAGGAGGCTAAAAGTAACTGGGATCTTTGGGAAAGTGCTGCCTGGGACAGACCTCAGATATAGACTAACTCTGGGTCCAGAGAAAGGCAGAGTGGCCAGCCCAGGGAACCAGAGCTGCTGACATTTGGTGGAACCTGTTCCAGTGGCAGAGGGAGTTTGCAGCTGGCTGCATATCTTGGACTCAAACAAGATATAGACTAACTCTGGGTCCAGAGAAAGGCAGAGTGGCCAGCCCAGGGAACCAGAGCTGCTGACATTTTGTGGAACCTGTTCCAGTGGCAGAGGGAGTTTGCAGCTGGCAGCATATCTGGGACTCAAACACACACACACACACACACACACACACACACACCCTACAGAGAACCTCCACTACAGCTGCAGATCTTCAAGTACGCCCATGCAAGCAAGTTTCTGGGACTCTGAGTCCAGAGGAGTGCACACTCTGGGGTGGGATAAATGGTGGCAGTGCAAATGCCAGCTAGATAAGTTCCTATTACTTCTGTGTACTTTGTTAATTGATGTTATTCACTGTTAATCTGTTAAACCCTATTTCTTTATTGTTAAGTAAAGGTGTGTTCATTTTAATGTAATCAATTAGATGTATATTATTTGTAATTGTTGTCCTGGAGTTAGATCCAGATTATTGCTGGAATAAATTGATTCCTGGAGGCTCCCAAGGCACACCATTAAGTGTGTACAAGTCCAGCCAGGTGGAGGCACCACCACTGTATATTCTTTATGAGCAAGGAACTGCAGCAAGGGAGTGGATAGGATTTCCCCAACTAAACAAAATCACCACTGGGTACTCAGGATTTCCTTTTATATTAAAATCGTCAGGTGTCCGGGCACACCTGTGAGTGTGGCCTGCTCCCGAGTATCCTGGGGAGGAAAAGGGACATTACAGATATAAACCCTTAGGATTGAAGGCCATAAGTTTAATGATGAAGTTAGGAAGAAACTTCCTTTATGGAACTAGGGTACCTATGTAACTATCCGTGATGGTGTTTCTAGTTCCTGTCCAGCTGGTTATAGTTGCTGATAGTACATGGGACTGGCAAGTACCTTGTGGTGTGCAGCACCCTACTGTAAATCAGGAGCGGTGGAAGGTCCCTAAAAGTGAGGAGGCCATTAGTGTCTAAACTATGAGTCTGCCTCCACACTGTCTCTTTCCCCTGAGACCCCATCACCCACTTGTTCCTCTCTGCCTGCTGTCCTTGTTACTTACCCTTTCAGCTGTTAAAAAGTGGGAGGGCATAATTTACCCCCAACCCCTTTTCAGGTGCCCATGCTGTAAACCCCTTCAAACAGAGCACTATAGAGTAATGGAACTTCTGCTGAGTTACTGAAAAGCAGCAGTTTCATCTTCTCTGGGCCAGGCATATCCCCTCCCTTTGTGGTCAGTGCTGCAGCTGGTTTGTTTTGATTCCGGCTCTCTCTGCCTCCTGTACTTTGAATGATCACAAAAGTATTCATTGAACTATGTTGCTTTTTCCTTGCTGCTGTTTTAAATTTGTAAATGGTTGTGTTGCACAGACTTTATAATAATGTCTCTATTAACCCTTTCTAGCCCACGACCTTCCCCAGAACAAGACCTCAGCTGCGGCGCAGACTGGCAGCCATTTGCAATGCCTCTCAGTCCACTGCACGGATGATATGGGAGAGTCGAAGGGCCGGACTGCAGTGCCGACATGGAGATCCCTGCACTCAGACATCTCCAACAGATTTGGGACTTTTGTGGCTGCCCTGACTTGAACAAAAGGAAATTTTTTTTTCTCTTTTTAATTTTAAAGGGCCACTACCGCTAGGTGGACTATTTTTCTAGGTTGGTACCTGCTTAGTGTCAGATGGACTGGAAAGGGTTAATTTAAAGTAAACCTCAATTTTTTTTAATCTTCTGCCACAGTATGTTACCAGTGTTAGCCCTTCTGCAGTTGGCACACTTTTGCTTAAGATTTTTCTGTTAGATCGTTTCCCCCATTATTCTGTAATCTTGGCATACGTTTATAGATGAGGCCTTTTCCTTTTTTGTCTCAACTTATGTCCCAGTGGTGTATGTCATAATAAGACAAAGATACTGCTACTTCTTTTCACTTTTTCTTTCTTTTCTTTTTTTCTTTTGCTTCAGTGCTTATTAAAATGGAAATCCTGAAGAATAGCAGTTCAGGAATTAATGCCGGGTGAAGTGGAATTGTCATCGTAATATTATATATTGACCAAGCTTTCATCAGTCACATACAAACCAAACAATTAATGATCTATTAAGTATTCAGCCTGCAATTTTTGTCTTTCTTTGGGAGAATTACTTTTTGTTACCAAGAGTACATTCACCCTTCATCTCTGGCTGTTAAGTGGAAACAGCTATTCAGTTGATTGGCTGACTTGAAGCCCAGATATAGAGTTCTGTTCTGAACCATAGGGCCTGTAACTGTGAAGCTTGGTTGACCATACGTACTTAAATGTCAATTTCAATTTTTGTTAAAGCATTTTAATTCCTTCCCCACCAAGGACCTCGGTTTGAGTGGAATTCTTCATGTACTTGTCCCTCTCGCTGGGGAAACATGTAGAGTGCAGATCATCTCCAGCACACAATGTGTATTTAAAGTTCCCACACCTTTAATTTTTCTCGCAGAAGAAAGGAAGTTTAAATAATCACATTATTTCTCTAATCATTGAAGCAGGGGCTTCTTTTAAGGAAAATCAAATACTAAATCCCCTTTGTACTGCGCTTATCCTATGAAACAACTTCCTGACTACATGAATGTATGAAAGCTGTGATTCTTTGATGTTGGGTACTCTCCCCTGTGTTAGGCTAAATAGAGATCCACCGTCTAGCTATTACTTAGGCCATCTCTGCATTGCCACATATATTGGCAAAATTCGCATCGCTCAGAGCTGTGAAAAAACACCCCCTTGAGCCACATATGTTTTGCCAGCAAAAGTGGCAGGGTGCACAGTGCCATGTTAGTGGGAGAGTTTCTTCCACTGACATAGTTACTGCTGCTTATTGGGAATAGTTTAGGTAAGCTGATGGGCAAGCTCCCTACCGGCAGCATAGAAAGGCTGCATGAGAGATCATACACTGGTGCAGCTTAGGACTGCCACCATTCTGCTTTCTGATAACTGGACCCTTGAGGCCCCAAACTTTTATTTACCTGTTTCTCCCAGTGTTCCTCTCCAGGTTGCTCACTGGGTCATCTCCCCTCCCTTTCCCCCAGCCCTGGGGTTGGATGGGGACCACTGCAGCTGGACAAAAAGCCTGCCTGCAGGTGTGAAGCAGCCCCAGGAGAGGCTGATATGGGTTAATGACCTGTCTCTCCCTCTCCCCCCACCTCCCTGCGGTAACTGATATTTGGTGTCCAGTTACTACCTCTGACCGGGCATTGCCAGTTGAGAGAGGGGTTGTGGCAACTCTAAATGGCACCTAGACACATAAGCCAATAACTGGATGGTCGGTAAAATCCAAGTGGGTGGCAGTCTTAATGCAGCTGCATCAGTAGAACTGTCCTTCTGTATACTCTTAAAATTACCAAGGTACTGAAGCAAAGGCCTCAATTTTGACTAAAGAAAAAGGTTTCTCAGATTTCAGGAAAAGTTTAGTATTGCTGCTTGTGCCCTTTCTCCACAGCAGGGCTTTGGTGCCATTACTTGAAGTGCTGTCCTTTAATGCAGGACAACTTTGGAAGCCCCAGAGGCCACAGTGATACTCACTGCTCTTGCCAAGGGCTGCAACTTAAGTGTGGTTGCATAGACATGCAAATATATGCAAATAGCTTCTTTCACACTGACGGGCATGAATACAAAAATGAAGGCAAGACTACACAACATGCAGGCCCCATGTAAGTCAGTTCTGCTGATATTAATAACGTGCAATATTTACCCGCTTTCCACCCATATGACAGCACTTTTAATGAGCAATGACAGCCCAGGAATTTAACTAATAAAACGTAAACCATTCTATTGACTTGCCGTTGTGGCGCGTGTTCCCAGTGGAGGCCATGTTCAAAGGATCCCACCCGCAGGACGCTGTTGAACCCCATGTAAACCTAAACCGCACCACAGGCCACAAACAAATGGCCCATGGGCTGCATGTTGAGTAGCCCTGCTTTAATGAATGGCCTTGTATGTCATGAGAATGTGGAATGTGTGAAATCAAGTATTTTCAGGAGTGGTAACAGAACATGAAGTTGGAAAACTTGGTACATATCAGTACATACCAGTGGGTATTATTGGGATTCTAACCAGTCCCCACATTATGCACCTGTACATCAGCGATTAGCATTCTCTAAACTGCCAGCCTGATGGTGGGGCCTAAGGTAGATGCCATAATTCCTGTGGTACAGACAGTTTCTATTTGACATATGTGTTTTGTGTTTGAAGGACAGTGGTGTTAGATACATACAATAAAAGGAAACCATTCTTTCCTGCCCTTCATAGATAATACTCATCAGGGCAAAAAGCTGAAAACAAATGAGCTAAAAACAAAAATGAAAAGATGATCTAACACTGGCGTGGTTTTACACAATGCTATCTATAACTTGCGTAGCCTCAGTTTACAACTAGAGTAAATGGTTCCACCCTTGTTCAGATTTGCCCAGTCTAGCGATGGTAGAAAAGTGGGGTGCTGTTGGCTGAAACTATGTATTCGGGTGGTTGTTACTATTTCAAGCTGGGGGCGTAGCACCTGTACTTCCTGCCCTTGTGGTTCAGTCCCTCAACACCTTTGCAGTTACTAAGAGCACTGGAGGATTAGATCATAGTTGTAAAATAAAGGACTGAAACACCATGGGAGTTGATGTTTAAAGGACTATCTTAGATGGCTGCACCAGGCCATTGGGTTTTAAGCAGAGTTCTCAATTGGCACCGTGGGGGGGGAGGGAATTATGCTTAAAAACTCCTGGTACATTATGGTCCTAAAATTCTCATTGCCAGTTGTGCTGTTTGAAAACACAACATGTTAAATGAGGGTACAGATAGTATTTAACTTGTCACATTCTCCCTGCTCTCTTACTTGGAACAAGCTCTCATTGGCCTTACGTGGATTTATTTTCCTGTTGTTTCATTGACTTGTCTTGGATATTTTTTTTTAAAGTTAGGTAATTATAATAAGGGTCTTTGAGATTTAGCTGGTCTTTGCCTCAGAATTTAAAAAATCACCCCTGATTTTGAGTTACCTTTAATCTTTTTTTTTATGCGATTTTATTGAAGCTGGAATGGTTACTGGAATATGAGGTTTGCCCTTTTGTAACTGGTGAATATAGAATTAGGTTGTATTCCTGAGTCTAGAAAAAGCAGGCAGGACACTTGGCCAGATCCAGATGAAAGGATGAAAGATTTTGCCCTTCACCTACCCTAAATAATACTTTAAGGTCATAGATCTCCTGATGTAATCGTCATTATCCAGCCTCACATGCTTAAATGCTTTGATGACTAGAGATGGAATTACTTATGCATGTGCTTAATTTTAAATGTAAGTAATTCCATCTCTGCTCATCAAAGCACTGAAGCATGTGCTGTCCTTGAGCGTCAATGGAATTTGATCAAAGTTTAAAAATATTTAGGAGGAGAGGGAGGAAATTTGGTTCTGTCTTAGAACTGCCCATGTATTTATCAGAACTTCTTGGACAATACTACGGTTCTGTTTAACTTTTTTGCCAGCTTTGTCCCTTCCACTAGGTATTCCTGACTTGTAAATGGATTATTCTCACCTTAACTGAGGGGCAGAATGCCAGCTGCCAAATAGTATGTACAGAGGTGATACCAGCATATTGCATGGTATTTCAAGGTGTTTGTTTTACAAAATTTGGGGGGGGGGATAATGCATATGTAATTCCTGACCAGGTCAGTGTAGCTCTGTGGCTGGTCTTGGTGTATTTTTAGTGCGGAAGGCATATGCAATGGCTGTATGTTTATTGCCAAGCTTTTGTTACCTGCAATACATTTATGCCCAGTTTCTCAATGGAGTTGATAAGTGTACTGTTTTTTTTTTAAACATATATGAAATAACAGCAAAGCACTAGATTATAAACAGAGATTCAGCTTCTGGAATAATATTTGTCTTCATTTGCAGAATGCTTTGAGAGCTGTAGAGGAAAAATGCTGTGAGAGAGCAAGTGATAGCTATATCCCCATTTTATAGGTCAGGAAATGGAGCTATGGGGGGAAGTGACTTGATGAGTCCCAGAGCTGGGTTTTTAACGCTGTTCTTGTGACTCCTAGTGCAATTGCCTACCCACTGTCCCATCTGCTTCTTCAGTATAATTTGAAGACAGTCTAGTCCAATAAATAATGAAATTCAGTGCATTACAAATGCTGCAAAAGTGACTTCATAAAGCCAAAAAAGTTTAAAGCGCAGCTACATATCTTAAAAGACTTCATGAGGGTGAAAACATGACACCAGTTATGATAAATATGCATTTAACTTGTGTACAAACTTCATTTTGTGTTGCAAACAGCAGCTTAAAATAATACAATTTCGTACATGTACTGCAGAGTTCACTTTGACCTGCCTGGCATTTTCAGTTGCTGTTCCCAGGCATGTGGTCTAGGCATCATTTTAGAAATTAAATCTTTTAGTCCCTACTTCTTGAGGGTCAATTTCTCACTGCACAATGTTTGCTGGATTTTTTTTGGGACGTATTAAAAAATTTTCATATATACACTTTAAGTTGAAGCCTAGTAGCATATTGAGCAAAACCGTATTTTCTATTTTGTTTAAGTTATGGGGAATGATGAGTCATCTTTGTTAAAAAAACAACAAATAGGGCTTATTTATTACATGCTCATTAGGAAGTTTTCCCCAGGTCATGTTCTCATAGGGTTATTATTACTCCGTTGCTATAGTTCAGTTTTTAGCTCATCAGTGACACAAGTTTAGATTCATTTTAATTTAATTATGGTGAATTTCAGCAAATGTATGATGATTTCAGGATTAATGTGGTATGGTGGGTGGAAGGGAAATAAAGTGAAAATTTCATCATTCATTTAATTTAGCAAACTCCTGTATTTAGAAGTTATCGTTCTAAGTTAACCTTAGTTAACCGAGTTAACCTTTCCAACCAGGAAACCAGTTTGAAGGCTTTCTGGAACAACACTAAGGCTAATGTTAACTCCTTAATGAAGAGCTGTAATATGACCACAAGTCTTCAATGTGCTATAGAGCAAGTCATGTTTGCTCTGATACTAAGAAGAAATAGAGTTGGTAAATTTTGATTTTTTTTTAAAGCTGCAATTTACCCTTTTCTTGAATTCTAGATTCACAGCTGTTCAGTGGATGAGGTATAAGAGCTTAATCCATTTTTATAGAATTGTTTCTCCTTTATTGCTTAAGGCTAATGGAGGAAATAGTCTAATTTTGTCTTAGAATTTCTCTATTAAAATTGTTGGTTTGAGTCCATCCGTTCATAGATTTTGACTGATGAAACTGCAGGCTATGGATTCCGGCAGTTATAACTTTATCACTACTCACTACCCAAGAATATTACAGCTTTAAAACAGCCTTAAGCAAAAGGATGTTATTTCTTTGTACTAAATTTGGTTCATGGAAAAAAAAGATCATAACACTGGTAATCCGTACTGCATAGCAAACTCTTCTGAAAAATGTTATTGCACATGTAAAATATGAAAACTTGACTCTGCTGTGTGTTAGGCAATCCTGTAATCTTTTTTTTCTCTCTTGTTAAATTCATTTCTTAAATGCTTGGTTGGAAGACTGTGACAATAGCTCATGAAATTGAGTGTTATTTTTCTTTCTTTTTTTAAATATGTAAAGTGCAGTCTTCTGTATTCATGCATATTGTATATACCTGTATATGTTTTACTGAGCAACTAAATAACAATAAATATGTTAATGGTGGCTATTCTATAGTTCATGCCAAGTTTACTGAGCAACTAAATAACAATAAATATGATGTTAATGGTGGCTATTGTATATTTCATGCCAAGTTTTAAAATTATTTGAATAGAGTCTTTCCTGAGATTCTTGGGATTATTGAGATGATGCAGTTAAGACACTGTGTGAGTGAAATTTTTGTCATGTTGAAGTCAGTAAGTAGTTTTGCAACTGACTTCAGTGGAGCTAGAATTTTCCTCCAGCTTGCTGGATACCTGTTTGCTCTTTTTAGGGTGTAACTTGCTCCCAAGTGGAAACAGGACCAGATAGGGCTGAAGCTGTGTGCTGTTCCCTGCACAGGGTGAATTTCAAATCTTGTTAAGTTTCGTTACACTTGACAAATGTGCAGCTAGTTTTCTTTTGTTCACATACTAAAGTTACCTTTTTATTCTTCAGCAAAATGTCATTGCAATCAATCCTTGTTGCAGTTCTTTAGCCAAATCGTGTGCTTCTATTGCAATTCTAAGGATCTTTGATTCTTTTATATCTGAGTCATATTGGACTCAGGTCAGATATAATTTTTATAATGTTATCTTTCCTGATGTGTCAGGGAGTAGCTCTTTGGCTAGAGCACATTGACAAGCATAGTCTAGACTAGTGTAAACCCATTGTAAAGGTGGCTTGGACAGAGAAAAAGAATATAAATTCCAGTAATATGAGGGTGATGAAATCTTATTTTTCTCTTTTCCAAAGGCTTCCTTGTGGGACCCAAGAACAGAAGTAGGAGCTTTCCAATGCTAAGAGAGGCAGGAGTGTTGAGTCTTTCAAATACAACTTTTTCTCCCAAATATTTATAAGGGTTTTGAGTGAAATTGGTGTAAACAAAATGCAAGACAGACCAGAATTCTAAACATGATGAATAAAAATCCCTTCTCCTCTCAGCTGT